CGCACGCACGCACGCACGCACGCACGCACGCACGCACACACACACACACACACACACACACACAATTAGGCTACTTGAGACTTTATCAGAAAGCGAAGAGCATTTCATTACAAAACAAGCGTGCAATTAACATAACGAGTTGCTTTTGTGGATCTTTGATTAATGAGGATGCTCCCTCATGCAATATGGATGCATTGCGACGCACCCCACTCATCCTCAAGTCCCCCTCCTCCGCACGTACGCAAACACCGAAACACACGCACACACACACACACGCGCGCACAAAGTATCTAGAGCAAAAAATGAAACGACTGGCAGTTTTCATTTGGAATCAAGCTTAACGTCACTTCACATTACTTGTGATTTCTTGTTCGTGTTAGAAGACGTTGTTTGTGTGCAGCAGCTCCACCGCGGTGCATCTCATCTCCCCCCAATTGTGGAGCTTTGCTGGAGCTGATTAGAATGTGTCACGAAAAAGGCGAATTGAAGTGGAGGGCCACCTGACAGGTGAGGCAGAGCCTGACCTGCATCATAAAACGTAAAAAACCAAGCGTTAATTAAAATCAGTTTCAATGTTAGTTCTCTGCTCTCTGCCTTCTATTGATTTTCTCTTCGCATCCTCCACACTTTCACTGTCAAAACTGCAGAATTTACATATTTACCGCTCAAAAGTGGGTTCCTTCAGTCTGGGTTATTTCATCATACTTATTTCGACTTTAGTTTTTAAAAATTCAGTAAGTTTTATTTTGTTGGTTTTCATTCATTTGAAAAGGCTTCATTTTAATTTCGTTTTTATTCATTTTAGTAGTACTGTAACGACAGTGAATTATTTTATTTTTGTACAGGTGATTTCTTGTGTGCAAGTTTAAGACACAGATGGATGGGTGGATGGATAGACGGCTACATGGACAGACAGACAGAAAGACAGATATAGTAGATTCCAGGGGCGGAGCCAAAATGTTGATGGCCCCACCCATCCACCTTGAGGAGGGCGTCCACAGCAATTTACTGACTGTTCCATCTTTTTATGGCAGACTTGATTTACGAAGACGGCGCTTTGAACATCAGGTCAGTAAACAACACTTCATCAGTTTTTAATGTCGGGCTCCTCATTTAATGGCACGTACAATGTTCTATTTGCCTCGTAAATTTAGAACCTGACTCCAAGGGCAGCGCCTCACAAGCCACGAACCTCACCGCATTGCTGACCGGGAAACTTTCCATTCAATGTGGATTTATCCTCACTCGAGTCGCTTCGGTGCGTATGTGTCGGCCGCATCATCCTGAGAGCTGTTGACCCTCTCACGTAATGAAACGAGAAAGAGATTGGCGAACCCATTTAAGAATTCTTGTCTGTCATGAGGTTCAGACTTGGTTCGTCTCACAAGGTAGAAGTATCGGGAGGGTGGGGGGGGTCTCAAAAAGATAGAATATTTGTTCTTCGTGAAGATAATGAATCTATGCCTGTTATATGGTTTGTCTACATATGTAGCTTCAGAAAACTGTTGCGCAGCCACCACATTAGATGCTAATCGTTAGCCTGAGGAGGTTCGCATTGTAGGTTAGCATTCAGGTCCCAGAGGCGAAGTGATCGCTTCAAATACACGTGTCATTCTTTTTGTTTGATGTTTATTTTGACAGTAACGTAAGAGCTACAACAAACAGCTTGGGTCACTCGTATCTCAAGGCGCCACTATTTTTCTTATTTTTCTGAGGCCAAACATGATGCGGTGTAGTTGCAATCAGTGGGAAAGTGAGCTGTGCCTAATATTTGGTCTGTTTCTTTGATATGATGCAAGCGATGTCATCTTCTTGCCGCCTCTCATGTCAACGTGTCGAAAACTTCACGTTTCATCTTGGCGGCCTTTGATCACATAGATATATATATATTTTTTGGAATCATCGTCATGTGAACCATGTCCGCCACCCTTATCCGTGCCCCCACCTCACCCATTTCATCCCCAGGCGGGGGAGGTGTGCCATCATTCTGATCAAGGCCTTGGTCGACGCGCATGTCAACCACGGGTGGGGGGAGGTGGGACAGCAGTGAGTGTCGAACCCCCTCGCCCCCCCAGCCGCTGACCAGTGTCGCCATGCTGCCGGAATGCAAGCGGTCGTCTTCTTAGCGACTAATTGCCTTCGCTGCTCGGCCGCTGAGACTTTTCATGTGTGGGGGTTTGCACTAATTAATTGAGATTTCAGGAGGAGGCAGGAAAAAAAAAAAGGATGTGAACTGGGATGTTCCCACTCCAGAGCTCGTTAAGATTGCTTGAGATTTTGGTTCTCACGGATTTTTGTAATTAAGGCCAGTAAAAGGAGGAGGAACAGAGATCAATCATGATTATATGAGTTACCTCACTTTTAAAGGACTCTCTGCATATTGTATTTCAGACTGCATGTCACTAAAACAAATAAGTGCTTTAATACATATTTTTAAAATGTCTGACTCAGCGAAGAAAAAAACCAAACACTTAACCACGGTCATGAAAATCAGGAGAGAGCATTCAGCATCGTTTGGCGCTTTGATGCAGACTCTTTCAATTCATTGTGTGTGTGTGTGTGTGTGTGTGTGTTAATTTGGTCATATTCAGCAAATTAACTCGAGGGGAGAGTAATGTCACAAAAAAATGAAGCGCAAAAGCAAAATGGAGACGGCGAATATACTAGAACGAGCTTCCAAAGCTAAGCCACAGCAACATGTTAGCTTCTGATTATTTTGGTCATTTCTAGCTGCAAATACTCAAACGTTAAAATGACAATTCATGCGAGGAGACTGAGGGCACTGGTACAGCAAAGCGGAGACTGTGGAGTTTAAGGCTACAGCAGCTAGAGCTAAATGAGCGACGCGTTAAGCTAATGTTAGCGCTTATTTTGGTCATTCCTAGCCATTTAAACGTTAAAGAGAAATCTTTTCATCCAATGAGTGCGAAGAAGCGTTTTTTTTTTTCCCTCGCTCTCATCCAATCAAATTGAGCCCAAACGCAAAGAGCAAATCAGAACTCCCTTCGCGACGTCATTACCCAAATAATTTGCTTTATTCAACATAGAAGATTCCTTCACACAAGGTAACAAAACAGACAACGGATTTTCGTTTGAAATGAAAAAAAGAAAGTAAAATAAACCCACATTTTATTGCACTTTTAAGTTATAAGAAAATAAAATTCTAAGTGAATGAAACAAATCACAAAAAATCCCTTTACGGTTTTTTTTTCTGTCCGTCTGTCTCGTCTTTTTTTTTTTTTTGCCAGGCAGTTTAAACTGAACTGAAAAAAAAAAAGACATTTTAAAAATTAAACAACAAATCTGATTTATCAAACCAGACCATAAATTAAACAGCGGGAGAAAAACGAGGAGCAAGAGCAAGATTGTTTTGTTTTGTTGTTTGTTTTTTTTTTGTTTCCTATACAGTGTTACAACCACTTTTTCACAGTTCAGCTTGTGACTTTTGGAGAGAAGTTTTGGCTACAAGGTTCACTTTTTTTTTTTTTTTTTTTTTTGGGCCACCGTGTGTAACACTTGATCTTAACGGGTGGGCGGGCCCCCCACGGACGACAACCAAACACACGGCAGGATGTTTTTTTTTTTTGTTTTTTTCCTATGAAATCCCATAAAGTGTGTGTGTGTGTGTGTGTGTGTGTTTTTGTCCACGCAGCATTGATTCATTCCCGCCGGTTGTCCCGAGGAATGTGTTCACAAGTTGTCCGTTAGCACGCTCTCTTGCTTCCTTCTTGTAATTCGCAGGCGATCCCGTCCCCTCCGCCTCGTAGAGGCACGTTTGGCTCAAGTCTCAGTGGCGCAAAAAAAAAAAAAAAAGTTTCCTATTTTGTCTTCTTTTCTCCCCTCTCAAACACACAAAAGAGTTCAATTTGGAATTTCGCCTGGGACTAAAACGTCACAGCAAAAAAAAAAAACAGAAAAAAAGTGCATTTGGTGTGAGGGGGGGGGGGGGGGGGGGGGGGGGGGGGTCAGGCTGGCCTCGGAAGGTTGGAACCCTGGACTGAAAAATTGAGGACAGCTTTGACTTTGTTGTTTCAGTGGCGACATGGCTGATGGCACCAGCTGGACAGCATCGACGTTCCTGTTTGTGTTTGTGTCCACCTATTTGAAGCGGATCAGAATACCATACCATACCACCACCACCAGTTGGACTGGAAAAAAAAAAAAGCAATTATGTTCCTGGAGAGATCTGGCCTTGGAAGGCTGGAACGCATCCCCAGATGGACTCAAAAATTTCTGAATTGAGTTTTGCCCCCCCGTAGAGAAGTGGAAGTCGTGGGCAAGGGGAGCTGCAGCAGAGTTCCACACACTCCAGCTGTACTGAAACGACTTTGGTGCTCCTGTTCCTTTCTTTTCAGCCGGGTAGAGATGTGATGGGAAACGGAAGTTGCCACCATGGAAGGTCGGACTGAAAAACTCTGGAGAGCATTGATGTTCCTCGTACTGATTCCTCCCCTGTTGGAACACACAGCCAGACTGAGAAAAAAAAACATCCTGATGTTCCTGTTCCTTTTTCCTTTTGTGGCAGGAAGTTGGTTGTCGGGGACAGGGGACAGCAGATTTACTAGCCTCCAAAGGTTTCAATGGGCACCAGCTGTACTGAAAAACAGCAATAACATTCCTGTTCCCTCCTTTTCAATTCCAAGCCAAACTGGAACAGGTCTTGCTCAACTGGAAAACTTTGGGCAGCATTGGCTTTCCTGTTTACAGTTTGTATTTGTGGAGAGTTGATGGGAGACTGGTGGGCCGCAGACTGACGTCTCAGGAGACTGGAACAGACCACCAAGGTTAACCAAAAACAGCACTGATGTTCTTGTTCCTGTGCGAGGTTGGTCGACGGGGCGGAGTGGAATCAGAATAAAGACGTATAGAATTCTTCGCCATGGAAAGTTGGAGTAAAAACCTGTTCCTGTTTTTCCCCTCCAACTGAATGCCTGGGATGGGTGGAAAACAACCAAAACCACTTTGGACAGCATTGTTAGCAATCCTGTTCCTGCCCCGCCCCCACCCCAGACAAACAATGAGGGTGGGGTGGGGTTGTTCTAATACTGGGATTTGTTGCCGTTCGCAACAGGAAGGCGATGGAAAAATCCGATTTTGAAATTCACAGTTGATGACGTTGAGGTTCAGCGGAACAGGAACGGCAACAAAATGGGTTGAAATTCCACCCGAGATCCCCATCCTTAGGAGGCCTCGGAGGTGCTTCTCTCGACACGACAACAATCGGCCCTGTGATCGGGGGTAGATTGGTGTCGGTTCGCTTTTTGGGACCCCCTGCCCCCACCTCCCCAAACCTGCCTCATCCACCCCCCTTCCTGCCGCCGCCGTAACAACAGTGCATTCACTTCATGTCCACGTCAAAATCAAGCACGAGCAGCTTGGTCTCCTCGGTGCCGTTGCGGCTGCCCACGGCGCACACCAGCTTGGTGTTGGATGCCCGTATGCGCCAAACCACACCCCCGCTGCCGCCGCTTTCCAGCGTCACCAGGTTGCGGATGAACTCGCCCGTCTTCAGGTCCCACAGCTTGACCGTGCCGTCGTCCGAGCTGGTGATCACAAAGTTCTTGTTGAACTGCAGGCACGTGACGGCGCTCTGGTGCTTGTGCGGACCTGCGAGACAAGACAAGACGATTAGATCAGACAAAATGGACGCCGGCGTTCGATTCAGATGTTGTTGTTGTGGCAGGGCCATCACAACGTGGCACATGGTGGCCGTGCAAAAATGGCTTCATGTTCCCACTTCTGTCTGACAAACGATTCCCCAAAAAGGTAGGCGGTGGCGCAGCGAGGCTTTTGCGTGTGTGCCGCTGTCGCCGAGACTTGTATGTATGTGAGGCTTCAAGTCAAGATGGCGGCGCCTGCTGACTTTCGAGCCAGCGAGAGGCCTGAAAGAGATATCTTCATGCCAAACACAAACGGCGTTTATAGCCGCTGTTGCCATGGCAGCAGGATCCATTCGTGGTTCGTTCAAAGACGGCTGCTGGGCACTCAATTGATGCGCTTTGTCCACCTATTGTGTCATTAAAGGTAATGAATAGCAGACATTGTTCACTGACCTAATTATATAACCTCCACAGACCCTCCCCCCGATCTCAGACATCAACATCCGCCCAAGGCTCACCACCACGCCACATTGCAACCCCCCATTTGTTTTATCCTACTGGTAACTAATGACGGAAATTTTTCAGCCACTTCCTGTGAGCCGCCAGTGGAGTTCACGGAAACACAAAAGCGATGTCATCAGCTTTGTTTGCACATGCAGACAAACACGCTCGCCGTGTTTGGCTTGGACCGGCCCAGTTCTTGATTTGTCACTTCATGACACAAACGAGACTTATCACTCGGGGTGAACAACGAATTAGAGTCCAATCGTAAAGACTGCTGTGAATAGGACCGTTGAATCCCATTTCGAATCGGAATCACAATATTGAGAGGGGAAAAAGAAAAATTGCGTGAGATTTTTTCAAAATTGCGCAGCCCTTGTCCACACTTGATTGCTTTAAGGTCTGTGAATGCCCCTAATGACTCCGAACCCACCTTGCAGCGTCTGCAGGCACTGGCCCGTCTTGATGTCCCAGATCTTGACGGTGGAGTCGGCGTTGCCCGACACCAAGATGTTGTCTTTGAGCTCCATGCCGCTGGTGAGCGACTGGTGGCCGGTCAGCGTGTGGATGCAGTTGCCCGTCTCCACGTCCCACACTCGGATGGACGTGTCCAGCGAGCCGCTCACCACGTGGATCCCGTCGAACTGAATTCCAATAAACAGATCCGCTTTCAGATTTTGTGCCCATTTCGTCACCACGACGACGACGCCGTGTCGGCGGCTCACCTGTAGCGAGTACACCCGGTTGGTGTGACCCTGCAGCGTGTGGAGGCACGTCTCCGTCTCGGGGTCCCAGACTTTGACCATGAAGTCGTAGGCACCGCTGACCACCCGCCGTCCATCGTACTGGACGCAGCGCACGGCCGCCACGTGCCCCATGAGGACGTGTAAACACTGGCCCGTCTCGATGTCCCACACGCGCAGCGTGGCGTCCCGAGAGCCGCTCACCACCCTGGCGGCACAAAAATCACCGCAGCCTCGCCTTAGTTATCACGGTTGCTGAAATGTAGAATCGGATCAATTGTGACTGCCAAAGTTGCCCCGACACAAATTTTTGTCAAATGGAGTTAATTGCTTGCCAATCAATTCACCTTTCAACCAATTGACTGACTGCCATTTTAATTCAGGCACCTTAATTTTAACCATTGGTGGGTGTGTCACACCCCCAAAAATGTTAGTCCAACTGACTGTTGTCTGTTGTCACTCACCTAAAATTGTATTCTCGCTAATGAAACGACTTTGGGAATTAACCGATTAGTCAACCCAATATGACCAACAAACCAGCTCACCACCTAGCCAACTAAAAAACTCCCGCCCGACCGAGTTTATTCCGGCTCATCCAACAAACTAACAAGCCAACTTACTGACTGACATCTTTATTCAATCGCCTTCATTTTTAAACTTTTGGTCGTTGCATCACCTCTCAAGAAATGTGAATCCCGCTAATTGATTGCCCACCGACTGTAATTAACCTTCGCATCTCGACCCAAACGCTAACCATATATTTTTTGAATGAACAGCGCAATTTTCATTCTTTTGCTGCTTTGACAACTTGGAACTCAAAGCACCTCTCTTCTGCTTCTGGATTGAATGTACCAAAAAAAAAAAAAAAAAAACTAAACTAAAAGCTTCAAAAAACTTCACCTGAGGCCCTAGAGCTTGCAGAATGGAGACAGCATTTTTAGAGACTGTAGAAAATAAAAAAAAGAAAGTCCTTAGGGTGGATGGCTTACACAAGTTTGTTTACAGTTGCATCGAGCACATCTATCGGTGTATTCAAAATTTGAGGCCCTACTGGTCTCAGGTTGAGGGTGTGCATTCCTTGATAATCTACTACGTTGCGCCGTTACGTCTACAGGCCTTGTAGGGGGAAAAAAAGCATGCTGTCTAATTACAAACGGCCTCACGACATGGGGAAGAAACGCCCGCCGTGTTACTAGTGTCTCTTTTCAACTCGCAGTCATCCCACCGAGCCAGTGATCAAAAGCTACACAAAACCTCGGTGGGCCCTGGGGCGCAAAGAGCACTTTGGAGCCTCCCCGGTGTAATTGTGGAGTGAATGAGTGAGTGGGGGATGTGGGGGGGGTCTCCACTAAAGAGGGCCTGTTTAATGGCCACCATGCTCACATTCACGTCGACACAGATGCTCTTTTGGTCTGTCAGGTTGCAGCTGCTATTAAGCCGAGAAAACAACAACATTAGCCGAAAGCTCATTACTTCTTCCGAGGAACTTTTTGACTTTTATTTGCAAACAACAACATTAGCCGAAAGCTCATTACTTCTTCAGAGGACGAGTCCCAAAAAAAAACGACTTGACATGCTTTTTTTTTCCCCTAAACAACTTTGCAAAAGGGGCAACAAGGGCCAAGAAGGGATTACAATTTGGATAAAAGGTGCAGAGCAAGCAAATTTCCCCTTTTTACCTTTGCCAAGAGCAAAAACTCAAGGATGAGCTGTGCTGGTTTGTTTGCTGTCAACTTAGCTTTCCAAATCCAAATTTTAAGCCCTATTGCAACCATAACAAAAATTGCGGTGCATGACGCTAACTGTAACCATACGTCTAGTTTTGGACCTTGAAGGGGAAGTTTGCTTTTTTTTTCCTTTTTTTTTTTTTTACGTGACGTCATTTGCATACCAGCGGGAGTTGCATCTTCGGTTTGACTTGAGGTGTGGGCTGGGATTGGATTATTGAGGTAAGGCTAAAAATTCTCACTAACCTTGCACAAAAATTAAAATGTCTGGTCTAGGACCCTCGCTATCAATATTCTAGGGCCAGGAACCTCACCCTAGCCCAATCCCACACCCATTTCTTGGCAGACACCTTAACCATACGCCTGGTCCTGGACCTAACCACAACAATATTTGAGGTCCAGAACTTTCCAACTCTAACACTAACCCTAAACGTATTTATGGCACGGGATGCTAAGACTAACCTCATATCTGGTCCAGTGACGGAACCCCACCCATAAACCTATTTCTGGTACTCAATCTTAGCCGTAACCATATCTCGAAGTCAGGACCCCATTCCCAGCCCAAACACAATATCAATCATTAATGCAAACCCTAATTGCGGTCCAGGACACCAACCCAAAACTCAAACCGTTCTTTAGTACAGAACACCAAGCCTAGACACTGGACCCTTACCCCATAACATTTCTGGCCAGGACCCAAATCTAACACCTAACCATATTTTTGATCCAGGACCGTAACCCAAAACACATTTCAGGTACGGGATCTGAACCAGCCTCAAGCCGTATTTCTCATCAAGGACCGGAACCCCAATGGTCTATTAGGTCCATTACTCGAACCCTAACTCAATATTTCTGGTCCAGACACAAAACTTAACCCCATCCCAACTTTATTTCTGGTCCTCGACCCCCAACCCCAAACCAGAAGAGCCCCACAGTGTTTGAGGTTTTGCAGCAAGCGGCCTCACCTTTTCTCGTGCAGATGCATGCAGCGCACTGTTGAGGTATGCCCGTAGAGGGTGTGGATACATTCTCCCGTCTCCGCATTCCAGACCTTGAGCGTGCGGTCAGTTGAGCCGCTGATGATGATGTTGTCGCGCATCTGCGACGACCACACGCCGCCCGTGTGGCCCACCAACGTCCTCAGACACTGTGGGGAGGGAAGTCGACATTTCTTTGCGAAAAGCCACGTATAACATGACATTTGAATGTTCTGACCAAAAAGGCGTGCGTTTTCCATGACTTGACAAGCCCCACCCCCCCCAAAAAGACGAGTCTCTCATTCATTCTCATTAGGCACGCGAGATTAGCAATTGATTAGCACGGTCAGGGGAAATCCTTATGATCCATTGGATTTGCGCAGTTTGTCTCCATTGTGCGCCTCTATTACAGGGTCTTCACAATGTCGTCAATTAAAAGCGCGTGGGTCGAGGCTGCTGTTATGTACAACATGGGAAAATAGCAGCTTTGTCGCAAGGCAGAGAGGATTTACTGCGGGGAGCGTACGCAAGATTACAGTGCAACCTGTGCCAAGTCTCTGTCCTGTGATTAAAGCGCTGCTGCGCCGCATGACGGCACCACATAGGGCAAATCCCGCTCGACTTCAGCTCAGTGAGAATATAAATGACTGCGCTTGCTGAGGATGATGTGATTGCGACATATGCTTAAGTTAGCACTCTCTCGTTCTTTCAGAGAGCAGACTTGGTTAAAACGAAATGACCTTCATCTACCCAACAGAATGATCACGACGGTTAATTATTGTGTTGCAAAGATTGATAGGTGATGCGGCAGGATCAGCAAGATCCAATTTTGAGTGGTGTTTCTGAGGGAAATATTCCCAGTCCGTTCAGTTCCCAGTTTGCGAGAAGACTTCTAGGGTCACACCCTCAGTTCTTGGCAGGGGGGAGTGGAAGGTAGCTGAACAACTCCTAACTAATATTCGATATGTCACAAGCATCCCCAAAAGTTCTGCTGAAATATTATTGTACAGTGATGACCCTGTACTTCCTTTTCTAAGATCAACGACAATCTTGCGCTGAATTTGCATTCATTTTCTATCAGGTCATTTAGAAGCCGTAAGCGGAGTTCCTCAGGACAGTACCCGAGGTCCACTCATTTTTCGCAAGATCAGATCGTTTGGAGTGGAGTTCTTCAGGTGAATTAGAAGCCGTAAGTGTAGTTCCTCAGGACAGTACCCGAGGTCCACTCATTTTTCACAAGATCAGATCGTTTGGAAGGGATTTCTTCAGGGCAGTCTTCGAGTTCCATTCATTTGTTCCGCAGCTTAGTGTTCAAAGCCCATTTGTTTTCTCTGCATCCACCACTGGCACTTTCTAAGATATTCTACCAACTTTTCCCGGTGGTGTGGCAGCCGGGTGAATAACCCCAGCATTTTCTTCCATTTCAACTGACCAGATGACCCGATATATTGGTTCAAGTGTGTAAAATGGCACGATCGAGCACTTAAACAGCCCGTGACAGACTGCGAAGGAATGCTGACTATGTGGAAGGCGGTACATGCAGATGGTGCTAATCTCAATGTATCTTTTACGCTGCGCTTTTATTGGCACGGACAGGCAATTTGAGCCAAAATGGTCGGCTGGGTTTAATTCCACTCCCTCTCTTTCTCATTCCTGTAGAAGCCGGACGTGAGCTACAGGTCCAGCAGTGGGGAAATTCGCAGCTCGTCATTGAGACTGCGTCATAGTTTTGCCAATAAACACACAAGGAAGAAGTACGTCAGTATGCGATAAAGACAACCGAGGATTGTTATTTAAAGCTCCGTAACAACGGCGGCGCTGCGGTGATTTACAACAAATTCCTCACATTCCATTTCCGCAGTGCTTTTTTCCTTTTGTCAGCGCCGCACAATGCTGTGTGGCCACACTAGCAACAGCTTGGAATACCAACGCTGCTTGCTGACGTGCTGCAACGTCAGATAGCGCTGTGGCGAAATAAAGCCGTTATTGGGATCGATTTTGTAATGTGCCCGCCCCCTCACACAAAACTGGGGTGGTGACAGGAGTATGCCCTGACACTTCATGGTTTTTCAATCAAATGAGTGAAAGTCATTCAAAGTGCCGTGGTTCTTACAGTTGACTTCAGTGCACCTGCCATGGGATCAACTCACGTTCAACGCCTCAGACATCAATCATCCTGAAATTGATTGTCGACCAGCTCAGGGTGCAGTTCCCCTTTCAACTAACGTCAACCGGGATTAGCTTGAACAGGTTGAGTGTTGCGGAAAATAAGTGCACGTGTCATTGATTCAAATATGTGACTTTTTGCTGCTAGCGAAGAAACATCTTCGCTCAAGTGTTCAACCACAATCACTCGATGACAGACTGTCGACCAGTCCCACCGTCGGCAGGAGTAGGCTTACCCTGAGCGAGGATAAATCCAGAGTGCAACCCCATAGCGGTCACAGAAATAACTAGAATATGACTGATGGAAGACATGAAAACGAACAATAAATATCAGGCATTCCTTTTTAACTGTGTTTCAACAGAAATGCCTTACAAAAATTCGTGAAAAAGGCCCGGACAAAAATGTTGGTGACACCCAAAGACAGATTGTAAATTTGACCACAGGGGCATGTTCAACCAAGTTGTCTTCTAATTAGCATCGCAGGTCTTTTCAAACTTGTAATCAGTCAGTCTGCCTATTTTAAGTGTGTACCTCACTAAACGCAGACCAGAGGAAGCAAAGGAGATCGTTGGGACAGAGTGAACAATTTTGCCCATGTGCCGAAATGGACAGTCGAATGCTAATTATTCAGCTGTAAATCTTTCGCCATTCTCATCTGCCTTTTGTACACAAACACAAGACTTACTTTTCCCGTGATAGCCGACCAGACTTTGAGCGTGTTGTCGTCGGAGCCGCTGACGATGCGGTTGCCGCAGAACTGGAGGCAGGTGATCACGTGGTCGTCGTGACCTTTCAGCACCTGAGTGGAGAGAGAGAGGCCAATAGCTTTTACAACATCAAAGAACCATCTTAAAATGTCAGGAAGCGCCGCAGGTGTTGGAGCCGGCACCGCATGCCGTGACCGGTCACGTCATCTTTCAAGTCGACAGGTGGGTTGTGGCTACTACCGCATGCTCAGCCCATCGCAGGCATTTGAGGTCCCCCTCTACTCCAATTAGTGTCTAATATCTGCTGCCGGATGAATACACTTAACGGAGTAAGAGTTTGTCAGTGAGAAGTTCCGGGCCTGTTAATTTTCTGCAAGATAAAAGCTCATTAATTTGAAGCAAAATGCCAGCTTGGAGTAACTGAGTTATCAATCCGGTTAGTTTCGCCCCCCAGTGGAGCTCATCAGGGAAGTGTTTTCCGGCCATGAGTTTTCATCTTATCAATTTGAATACTTTGGTCAAGATTGGAGGACTCCTCTCCTCAAAGTTAAGTGTCACCCTCAGTGAGGTCCATTCCTGATGTAAATTTAGCAATTTAAAGGATTGGTCAAAATGAAAAGGCTATCGTCTGGTGATTTGAGATCGCCTCAGGGGCCATTTCTTTTCTGCCAGACTTATATGGAGGAAAATAAAAATGAAAATGGTCCCATGGGGGGGACTCGAGGTCCCCGCTCCTCCAGTTATTGTCGATCTTGTGGTGCCAGATGTGTGCAGTTCGGAGGAGCTCATCAGGGAACTAATCAAAGTCAGTTCATTCCATCTTGCAGGAGGTTCTAAACGCCTGCTGTCTGGGGCCGTTTCGTCACTGTCACCTGATCGGCCGACACGGCTGCCTACCCCCATTTCCTGGCTTTGCGCGCAGGGAACTAATCAAAGTCAGTTCATTCCATCTTGCGGGATGTTCTAAACGCCTGCTGTCTGGGGCTGTTTCGTCACTGTCACCTGATTGGCCGACAGCGACGCGGCAACCGACGCGGCTGCCTACCCCCATTTCCTGGCTTTGCGCAAGACGGCCGTCGCAGAGGTTGTAAAAATACAAGTTTGTACAATAAACACAAAACATAATAGTGTTTTACGACAACGGTGGAGTTGCTCATGGAAATGGCTGAGGTACACTAACTTTTTCAAAGATGCACCTTTGATCAATGGGTGGGGAGAGAGAGAGAAAAAAAAAGAAGCTACCTTGGGCGATTTAAGATCCCCTCTCCTCCAGTTAGTGTCTATTCTGTGCTGCCTGATGTAGGCACTCTTCCAGGGGCTGTGAGTGAACCCGGGCTTGACGATTTTCCTCTTCTTGAGGGGTAAAGGCTCATCGATGCCTGGTGGCGGAGAAGTGGGCAGGACGAGTTGACTTTTTCGTACTATAAAACTTGAAAGTGACATGGTTTCCGCAGAGGATGAAGCAGTCACCTTCTTCCCGGCATTTTTCCCTCCACAGCAAGTTGTCCTCGGCCAGAATGCGCCAGTAGCGACACGTCTGGGCGGCTTGGAGGAGATCCTTGGGCTCCAGGAACGACAGAACGTACAACGCCAGCTGTGGGAACGGCGAGGAAGAAGAGAAGTGAGAAAGGCGCAATCGAGGAAAAAAAAAAAAAGACACCTAAAGCCAAGAATGTGCTGTACGAACATGAGTGAACAAGGATGATGACATGGACCGAAAGGATCAATAGCTTCATTGCAGGTCTTCATGGAAAATACGGAGACCAGCGCAAAGCATCGCGTGACAAATTCAGCATGTGGTCAACAGATCTCGAGGCTAATATACCAGCGCCAGTTTCAACGACAACTAAAAGATGCATTTTCACGCTGCTACAAAACAGCTTAGGGCAGCCCGGGTGACAGCCATATTTCTTTCCATTGCATTTTCATGTATAATTTGTAACAATTTACCGTTCTAATGTATTTTTTCCACCACAAATTTCTTTGGTATCCCCTCCCCCGTATTTTTGCAAATGTTTCAGCTGGAGCTCAGAGAATAAACCAAATTTGTCTTCATTAAAAAAAATAAATAAATAAAAAAGTCATTTAAAAATTTGTATCGCGAATAGTTATTGCCGTTAACATCCAACAACATCCCAGAACAAAGCACAACTTTTCGGGCCCTATATTTTATGAAGGAACACGGAATAACAACAACAACAAAAAAGCCCACCATCTCTGACTGAACTCAGCGTTAAGTGGGCTTTTTACATCCTTGATCAGGTACAGTGAGTGTACAAAGGGGTGCGCTGCTTAACACGCATCTCGAGTCCTCTTTGAGCCACCGTGACTGTCGCGAGGCAGCCCCGCGGTCGGATTAGAGCTAGCGACAAGTCAGGTGTTTCCATTCAAGAGCTTGACGTCTGACACAAAGAGGTAAAAGAGAACGCATGCGCGGGCGGGCGTGTGTGCGCGCGCGCGCGCGCGCGTGTGTGTGTGTGTGTGTGTGTGTGTGTGTGTGAAGCAAAGTGGTGGAATGAAGTGGAGGAGGTCTTCTATTTTCCCCTCACCTCTTTGGGCAGCAGGGAGATGAAGTCGCGCTGGAACTGCGGCTCGATGACCTGCATCATATGCTTGACCTGCGTCGGCTCGCAGATGTCAATCAACTCGTCCAGCGCCAGCAGCTTCTCAGGGCCGGTCCAGCTCTGCAAAAAATAAAAAAGAAAATATATATATATATATATATTCTTTAAATACTCACAGATATTCCTCCCTACATTGAAAAGCAGCTTGGATATGGTCTCCATGGAAATAGCTTTTAAGCAATTATGCAGTCGGGGTCTGTTATGAGCAGTGCAGAGAAAGGTTTCCATTTTTTTTTTTAAAGTACGTGTACTTAAAATGAGTGACTTTGAACTGTTTCAGTTGTTTTGGCTTAATCTCTCGTGCCAGTGCAGCACGGCTAATTTATTCCTGTTCTAATTTAGTATTACCATGTCAAGCTGTAATTATCTGTATGTTTAGCATTGCCGATTAGTTTGAAAGTGTTTCGGTTTCTCCGTCCTACGCGCAGAAGGATCATCAAAGAGGGAAAGACGCGAACCATATAAGGAGACTGCAAAGGGGTCGCGACTCATCTGATATGACAGATTTTTGTCCAGTATTTGTCCAGATATTTTTCCTGACTAGTTATAATTACTATTTGCTAATAATGATTCCTTTCTTCCTTCCCCCGGCCCCCTGTCATATTTAGTATGCGCAGCTGTATTTATAGAGCACTTTAAATTTCCCCAATGTGGGACAAATAAAGGATATCTGAAACAATTCTAGTCTTCATAATTCTGCACCCCACCAAACTTTTCTTAAATTTGCATTATTTTTGTCCAACTTTTTTGGGGGAAACAGAGATGTATTTTAGTTGTCTATCATCAACTGATTTTGTTTCTTTTCCACCAGTGCTTTATGGGTTTTTTTTTGTTTTATCCGTTAATAGTTCTGCAAGCATTCTAACTGCCAACTTTTCAGATGTATTTACAGCTTTATCTCTGGTCGACACGTACAAGAGCAGCGAAGGCGGCGCAGTAAGTTGAACACCACCTGCATACGAACGGTGCCACCCGTTGCAAACCAAAACGAGTTGATGGGCCGCGTGGAAGTCATTCGGGTGCTTATGTAAGCTTGTCGTCGAGGCACCTTGCGGACGTGCCGTGCCGCCTTGCGTTTGGCGTTCGGAAGACTAAACGACTCCCGACGTGTCCTACGAAGCGGCGGCAGAGTTAGCTGCAGGCACGTTGCCTATTTCAGGCTGCAAACATGCAAAGCGCAACGTCACAAGCTGGACTTGTGACAGTGGAAAAGCATACAAAAGTGACAAAGATTACTCTCAGCGGAATGTAAGTGCGATACTTTTCTGAAGTAGTGCAAATGCTTCAGTTTGTTGGCTCAAATTGGAAAAAGAGAAAAAAAAAAGAAAAAAAAAGGGCGGGGTGGGAATTATCGAATGCCATATCAGTGATGAGTATTTTTCCCCCTTTTGACTTTTGTTCAGGCTGCAAACATGCAAAGCGCAACGTCACAAGCCGGACTTGTGACAGTGGAAAAGCAGACAAAACTGACAAAGATTACTCTCAGCGGAACGTATGTAAGTGCGATACTTATCTGAAGTAGTGCAAATGCTTCAGTTTTTTGGCTCAAATTGGAAAAAGAGTAAAAAAAAAAAAGGGGGGGGGGGGAATTATCAAGCGCCACATTGGTGATGAGTATTTTTCCCCCTTTTGACTTTTGTCAAATATTTTGTATTGTTTTCAGATATATTCCAGTGACTCCCCGACATGAATGCACCGCTTGAAAATTTAGATGTGAAATACTGCAACAATGTGCTATGACACTGACTTTGTCGTTCACTTGTCGATTTTTCTGCATCTTCCTGTACTTTATTTTGCTTCTAATAAGCCTCCTGAGGTAACGTGTTGAGAATTTGAACTTTTGCTATTTTACTGATCAAGCAAACGTTGTCAAACACGTTAATATTTCACCTTTTTTTGTCAATCATATTTGTATTTTTCCAAAAATTTTTTGTTACAAAAATATATCTATTTTTTGTTCAATATTTCGAATTTTCTTTTACATTTTGAATTGCTTTCTGGTATTTTTGATATTCGTCGAATATTTTCCTCGAAATATATTTGTCAGATCTTGTATTTCTCATCTGTTTTTTTTCCATAATTGTCCATTTTTTGGGTCTCAGTTTTGTTTTATATTTTGTCATGTTTTCAAAATATTTGTTTGCCCCAATAGTTTGTGTTTTTCATCCATTTTTTAAAAATATTTGGGCATTTTGCAATTTTGTCTGATAAATTGTATTTTTGGAATATATTTTTCCCAGTTTTTTATTTTTCATTGAGTCATAATATTTTTGTATTTATTGGATGAAAAATACATTTTAACATCGGATCCAGTGTTTGCATTATTTCATCTCCTATTCTTGTTACTTGTGGGTCTGGGGAATCTTTCTCTCTAGACTGAAAGAGAAGAAATAAAACCTGAGGTGGACACGTGACTGATTTTCAATTTTGTGCGCCAGCTCATTCTACGTGAGGAGAATTTGCACCAATTGCATTCACGTGTCCATTGGCGTCCTCTCCGTACGCTTGGTTACGTCGCATGCCAAGCACATATTTACAGCACAACATCGTCCTTCCAGCAAGCGTTTGCAATGAGGTCTGAGGTTTATCAAATTCCCTCGCTAGTGTATGATCTTGAGTGTTTCCCCTCCGCTTGAGTGTTTCCTCAGCCTTCCGCCATTAGCTGATCAAAACGTTTGTTCTCACCACAGTTCCCCTCCTCCACTAGCGTCATCCAGCAAAACACTCTGATGTCACTCAGCCGTCCTTGGGTTATTTATGGAGCTTTACAACATTTTCAGGAACTTCCCTAACCAGCGTGTCTGGGCATGAGCTGGGCTGTTATTTCGGAGTCACTTTAGTAGGCTTTGGATAAAACGGTCACACAAACGCACCACGAAGAGAGAAAAGTGGCGCTTTGGGACACATTTCTGCGGTCAAACACGATATAGTGCCGTGAGACACGGACAAGTTTGCGTCATGTTCAAAACAGAGGAAATAAGACTTCATAGTGACGAACCATGAATACGATTCCAAACAACATCACAATGTAGTAGGGTGCAATTTTTCAAATCACAAAGGCAGAAGTAATTTAGGGGGATAAATAAACAACCAAACTTCTGTCTGTCTCTTGTTAACCACTCAACCTTGGCAGACGTCTGTGGCATTCTTCGGTACTCGTGTCATGCCGTCGCTTTCTCCCCCCTCGAAAAGCGCGACGGGCCGCGACGGGAGCGCGGAATGTACAGAATGTTCGTTTGGCTATGAGCCGCCTGTACAATCACGAAGCTGTCATTTTGAAAAGATGGTAAAACTGGCCCGAGGACTCGTCTTGGAAACACACACACGCGGGTGTGACTGCGAGTCAGCCGGAACGAGCAGCTTCGACTGTCATCTGTCATCACTCGGACATGAGCATGTTTGTGGTGACGTCTTATTTCCAAGAGAGTCAATTAAAACCAGTCCACGCTTCCAACTCGTTACGAAAAAAAAAAGGCACCTGCTATAAAATGTGATGGACGGGCAAGACAATGTGTTAACCGATTGTTTGGAAGCCATTCAATAGTTGGCTGCAACTGGCAGAACCGCAGTTGAGTCAGTCGACTAGGTTGCCATCTGAGGAAGAACAACGTGACCTGGGTGGTTTTTTTCAGTTTCAACTTCCTGGTTTTGATGTTCAATTTATTTTATTTCCCCAAATTGACAGTGTAGAGAATGCACACGGTCGTGAAGATTCAGTTCCTAGTTTGGGTCGCTACATGTTAGAAAACAGGCAAAAATGTTGATGCTGTATCAAATTAAAAGCCAATATTTTATTTTGAGTCAGCACAAAAACATTGTTAGTCCAAAATCATGGAGAACCACAGAAATTGGATATTTATTACGGAGAAGCTGAAATTCTGATTAGGACCAAAAAAAAAGTAAACAAATCGATGATAAAAAATAATAAATTCGTTTGATAATCAATTGTCCAGTAATCACACCTCGAGTCAACCTTTTTTAAAAAGGACTGTAAAAAAAAAAACACTGAAAAAAGATGGAAAATCTGAATACTCACATAAAAAAATAAATTAAAAAAAACTTTTTTTCTTACGTCTGTATTGTCGTGGTTCTTTTAGCCATGACAAACAGAGGTAACATAGCCTGTCAATTTCAGCTTCCCGGTTTTCCCATTCAACTCTCTTCCCTTCCCTTTCAACTTGATTGAAGTGTTTCAAGGCTAAAAATGTCAACCCGTTGGGTTGACATCCTCCCAGTACCTCCACGACAGGCCAAACGTCACCATGCAAGATGTTACTGCTCTTGAAAGTACAAATAAAACTTTGAATGCAAAAACCAGAAAGTTAAAAAAAAAAAGAAAGAAAAAAAAAACTGACTCAGTGCATCAGTGTAATTGTACAATCTGCCTCTCACAGAGAGAAACCTGCAAACAGACTGCCTTAATTATCCACGGATTAGCATCTTATCCTCGGCCCCGTTAATAACAAGCTCCAAAAAATATATATAATAAATTATTCCGACGCATCCGTACGCCCGACATTAGATAGCATCTGTTCAACTTTTTAACACCGACAACATGTCGTCCCTTCATCTGCTTTTAGCCTCCCCGACAGCTCGGGCTAATTCCAATTGCACGCTACAGTGCCTTCCGCTGATGTGCGAGCACGGCTGGGACTGCAACAATTATCGCGCAGGAGCGAGAGCGAACATAGATTGATTATTACCCCGACCCGTGGCTTTCCCTGCAGATAAAATTTGGAGGTGGCAACTGATATTATTTGAAGTCGGAGGCCGTTTATTAGCCACGGTGATGGGGGGTGGCCCCGTAGTATCGGAAACATTTGCAAGTCGCTCCCGACGGCGTCAAAGAACACGAGCCAAACGGCTTTTCTTTTGGCACAAACGGAATTGGAAAAAATCCCGCCTACCTGAAACGTTCGGAGCCATTCCTGGAGCCCAGCGGGTGGCTGGATGGAGGTGATGCGCCTCCTCTGCTGGCCCTGGCCGTTGGCCGCCCGGATGTGGCCGAACGTGGTGGGCGTGGCCGGGCACGGCACGATTCCCGTCGGGCTGGAACGAGCAAAAAACGCTTACTGGGAAACATTCAAGCGGAATATGCAATATTCATGAAAGCGATTATTCAGAAAGGTCATCGCCGTCATTTGTAAGTCGAAGGCTAAAACCGCAGCAAATTAGCTTCATTATCGTCATGAGGACTTTGCAGCGACTCCGAGTTAGCTTCGTATGGTCTGAAATGGCAATTTAAACGGCCGCTCAACGTCAGGAACACTCGAAGGGGATCAAATGCTCACTTTTAGTGCATTCATCACTGCAATGCAAGCGTCACAATGATTCCTCATGGGTGCTAGCTTTGATTTTTCTTGGGTTTTGAGTTAATTCAACCAAAAAGACGGCCCCGCTTGTCACAGCGTCAAAGGTCTGGCTAGCGTTCTGCTTTTTCTTTGGCTTTTTGGGGTGAGCTTTGTGCCAAAACAAGACCTGAGTCCCCCAAAAATTTTTAATTTGTTTTTTATCCTTCTCGTACCGCGTTTTGCACACCTTGCTGTGAAAACACGGATGCAGAAGAAATTCCCCGTGTGCGGGAAACAGAGTGCAGCAGAGGGGTGGGGGCCAGAGTCAATTTCATTATTGATTCATATTTAATAGGCCAGGATGGCGATATGCTGCTGGTTACACGCCCACATTTACACTTAAGTGGCTGTTGTGCGCGTCCGTGTATTTTTAAGTGGGCAACATGTGCATCAAGTATTCATGGGAAACATCGGCGATGGCTGGCGGGAAAGTGTCATTCTGTTTGAACATCTCCGCTTCGCTTCCCTTTCACAGCCTTTTATAGGTTTTGCGGCGAAAACTGGCGCCTGTTAAATATTTCATTTCTTTTGATGCAGGAAAGAATGAAAGGCATGTGAAATTTGGTGGGATGAAGTGGATGAAGCTCACGTTGGACACTTGAAGGAGCTTGGCCCGGATATTGACAACTGACTTTTCTGTCTTTGGCTTTTCTGGTGACACTTATTCGAAAAAAAGATTGGAGCCCAATTAGCTTCAAATAACGTTTTCTGTCTTTTGCTTTTTTGTTGGCTTTTGGGGTAACAAAAGCCAGAAAGGTCATTTTACGTTCAGTGTTCTTTTGATGGCGGTGCGGGCACCCGCAGCGGCTCCTCTCTCTCCTGTGGTTGAGGAATGAAATTTCATCTGTGCTGTATGTTGCACATGCAGCACGTTTGACAATAAAGTTGACTTGAACTTGAATGTTTGATCTGCTTTCGCGGGCCACATAAAATGATGCGGCGGGCCAGATCTGGGCCCCCGGGCCTTCAGTTTGACACATGTGCCCGAACTCTTTTTGAACATTTTACATTCATAAATGCTTGAAAAACAAATAGTTAACAAAATAAGTAACAGTATTTAGTCAGCGATTCTTTTGCGTACCACAAGAGGAGCCCACGTACGACTCATGTTTGTCCTGCCACACATTCGACAAGATTTGAGGCCAAAGACGCCCTTTTTCTTGAGCTTTTTCTGCAACAATTTGAGCGCTTCCACACAAAACCCGAGCTCGACTAGCGTGAAAAAGTAAAGTAAAAAAAGTATATCAGTCTTTTGCTTTCATTTATGGCTTCTATTTTTTCCCCCTTTGTGTGTGGATGAAGCTCACCTTGGATACTCGGGACCTTTGCAGGGCTTTTTTCCTGAAGGGAAAGATCGGACCTCGGGGCCATGGTCCAACTTTCTCTTCATCTAAGGAGAAAAACAAGATATAAGGAGACTGCTCGACACCCTTAACAGGAATTAAGCCTTTGTGGAAGAGAGAACAGCGAAAACACAATGGGAAGACTATTTGATTGGAAAACTTTTTGCTTTCAACTCCAACAAAAGCAGAATTCTCAAGGCGGGTAAAAAGCAGGTCGTGCCGTCACACGCACCCCCGCCCTCCCCACCCCGAACGTGGTGCAGAATTGCCTCAGACGTTGTTAGCATTGTGTCTGCAACTTGGCATCTTAAAATCTGCAAGCGTCACATTCGGGCTAATGTCGAGACCAAGAATAGAGGATCAATAGATGAACCAATGTGCTGGATACAAAGCTAATGAGATCCAAACGCAGGAGGAACGGCAACAATCGTGCCATTAAGGTACTCATGAAAAAAAATACAAACTATTTCCCAGAGAGGAGGCAGCACAATGGCATAATCTCCATGTTCGCCGCGTGTTGGCAGAGCCGACGCCATCTGACGACTGGGCAAGGGAAACTGGGTAAAGCGCAGATTGGTCGCCAGTCTATCACAGGGCACTTATAGACAAGCATTTAAACTCCCATACGCATAGTCTTGAATGAACCCAACACGCAGGTGTTGACGTGTCCTATTTCGACCACTAAAATGTACGGTTAGCTAGCAAGCTATGCCCACAACCCCAAAGAAAATAAACATTTCTTAAGTTTTAATGTGTTTTGTGCCACGTGCATGTATGTGCGGCGTATATAAAACGACAGCGACAAAACAAAGGTGACATTGTGGCTAATAACACTTTAGCGTGGCTAAGGGGATTTTTAAAAATTCTGTTTAGCCACAACGGCTAAGAGGTGTCATGACGCGGCGCCATCCCTGAATGTTGATTTATATACTACTGGGAAGGCTCCCGGACAGAAAAAAAAAGTTTGAGAACCGCCTTTGCAACTCATTATTTTGCACCTGCATAGAAATGAATGTCATAACATGGTCACGAGTGAAACAAACACTAAATTTGCCTGTGAGGAAAATCTGTGAGGTCTGCTTGAAATAAAATGGCACCCCCCCCCCCCCGTTTGCCTTTTCTGTTGTGTGAAAAAAACGACAGCGAAAAGCAGCATATTTGATGCCATACTGTCTGGATCTGCAGAGGCTTGATAACACGTCTCTCCTCCAGATTGGTCATTTAGTTTGTCAGTCTCTATAATTTGGCCGGTTTTAGTGCTTTTTTTTTTCCTTCCTCACAATCCCAAGGGGGGAATTTGGGTTTTAATTAGAACTCAAACCCTTAAAATACAGCCAAGAACGTCGGCTATCAGTGACTGCGCCCATTCTTGCCTGCATCAAAAACAGGCAACAGAATCAACGCGCTCAAAGCGACGGATGGGAGGGGAAGCACGTGGACATGACAAGCACGCTAATGCGCCACCGTCGCCACCCAACGCCCCCCCCCCCCAGGACATTAAGACTGTGATCTAAAGCACAATTGATGATTTCCTCCTCCCGCTCGCATGCGAAACGGCACTTTGAGAGCGCCTCCAAAGCCGCGCGTTATTCATTCAGGGGTAACCTTTTGACAACAAACATGGCGACAGAGGAGAAAAGGATTAAGAATGTCGAAAGCGAAGAAGGCAATGTGGCGAGTGTCGGCGTGCTGAAATACCTCAAGGTGTGTCCACGGTGAGGGGTTTCTCCCAATGGCATTCCAATGAGAACCACTTTTAGTGTTTCCAGTGATTTTAACATTGGCCCCCCACCCCCACCCCACCGTGGGTTTCTAGTGGCGCTGTAATGTTTGTGTTTTATCAACGCGCCACCAAGAGAGGGGCAGAAACTCGGACGACGCCTGTATGTATCTGTATGCAATTTTCAGCATAAACTTGGACATTGAGTGCGTTTTCGTGTGATGTTTGGTTGGTGCTCGAAAACGATCAGCTCATTAACTTTTTGGTTGGAAGGAAGAAGACACGGTGGATGGACAACGCCACAGAATCCCTCAAATCAAATCTTAGTGTGTTAGTAACTTCCCTGGCTTTGAAACAAAGAACATTTTTTTTCCTCCAAGTGTGAGAAAAAAATGTCATTATTAATACATAATCTCGATCTGTAGTAATAAAATTATGAATGTAAAAATGAAGGAACTAATCAGGCGATCTGTAGTAATAAAATTATGAATGTAAAAATGAACTAATCAGGTTTGATCTTAAATGCTTTTTGTTATCTTTACAAAACGTTGCTTTGTGGTTGCCATTTTTGTCTGTTCACCAACAGCTGAAACCATTTTTTTTTTAGTTTGAAATTTTGCTGCAGACACTGATCAACTTAAAAACAACAAATGCCAGAAAAGATCGTACAGTCTATGGCTATTTTTTTTTTTTTGAAGGCTAACTACTTGCCAATGTCCTACAACCCGCTGGATTTTCCAGCTTGGCAAACTGTCGAGAAAATCAGCTCTATTACGAACATCTGACCTGCTTCTGTTTTACATTTTTGCAACCAACAATAAAAGAAAAGAGCACAGTCATTTGTTATGTTGTGACGCATTTTGGTTGGCGAGACCAGGATATAGAGCGGGGAAAGCCAGCTATGGGTGTGAAAGCAGTCAGAAATGATGCTGATGTCATGTGTGTGTGTGTGTGTGTGTGTGTGTGTGTGTGTGTGTGTGTGTGTGTGTGTGTGTGTGTGCGCGCAGGGTTAGAGGTTATTTGCGTTGGTAAAGATCAAGTCGGCATGAGCCAACCACCAAGTTGTGATCTCATTGGAATGGCAGTTCAGTCGCCAAGGAGATCCAGGGCGTGTGTGTTTGTAAAAAATAAACGTGTGTGTGTGTGTGTGTGTGTGTGTGTGTGTGTATAAGGGAAGATCACAGAAAATTAAGGCGTGGAAAAGAAAAAGTGGAAGCATGTAACAAGCCTCTTCTTGTGTGTGTGAAGATGAGAGCGAGAAGGGAATGTGGACTAATAAGCGTTTCCGCCGGCCTTTTTGTCACCGTATCCGGCATGCCAGATGGACGCAGGAGAAACTTGACGGTATTTTGATGTGCTTGGACTGAAACGCAAAATCCTGCAGCGTTTCAAACGCCCAAAAGCTTCAGTCGCTAACTTGTCCATCATCTTTTTTTTTCTGACATTATGAAGACAGTGGTACCTTAGCTTACTCATCAGTGTGCCAATTTACACATTTTCCAAGTTTTAGGATTAAACAAAACAAACCAAAAAAAAAGTAAAAACAAAAACTTACAACTGTGCTTTTTCAAATCATGTCGTCTACTTTCCTTTCTTGAGCAGTGTGCAGGTTACCAGCGGGTGAACATTTCTTTACTAGCTTAATGCTAACGGGTGAGTCTCTCGAGACAGACGAACAAAACTTGCATCGGTATTTGCGGTCATTATAAACAGGTGATATTTGAAATAAAATGGATCATCAATAGATAGAGAAAGAACATACACCTATATATAATATATATCTAAATATATACATTCTTCATGCTCTGCAAAAATGACAATTACTGCTACTTGATTGCGACTTCTTTGCCAAAGAGAAGGTGAATACATTTACATCAATGTCCATTGATTAAAAGCAAAAAATGTTGCACAAAATGTTAATTCTTCACTTTTACTTTTTTTTTTTTTTTTTTTTTAATAACGTTTTTAATACAGACAAGCTGACACAGTGACCCATTCTCCCAGGTCCGAGCCTGGGGCAAATGCTTCATGTCATGAGAGCAGTGAGGAGTAGTCTCTCTGAAACACTCCGACGGGCAACAGATCACATACACGCGAGACAACCGCTGCTGCTTAACGACCAATGTTGTTCGGTTTGCAGCCACTTCTACACAAGTCGGCTATTACAATTTCAAGAGAAAAGAAAAAAGTAGCATTTCGGGATGGTTTCAAACTGACACGAGAGAATGCAAAGTGCATTTCAAGGCACAATTGGAAACAAAGCAAAAAGTAGAGTTGGGTATCTGTGCGGCTCAACAAAATCACGTTATTTCATCAAAATCCAGAAATTCTCCTCCACTAAATATGACTTCAAGGAGCCGGCATATGGACTGTCTTTTATGATCAAAATATTTTACATTTTTTCAAGATATTTAGAAACCAAACGGTTAAATGATAACTAGAAAGATAACACACTATTTCAGGCCGTTTATAATTACCAGAAGGCGTCGGAACTGTCTCATTACAATTAATTTTGGAAATCAAATGATCGTCAGTGGTTTGGCTCATTTGGGTCGTCGGTATGTTAAAATGTAGACAAATACATTAAGATGTCTGAAGAAATATCGCAATGTCACAGTGGCATTTTTTAGCTTTGTCTTTTTTTTTAAGGATTATGAAGGTCTTCATGCTAGAAAAATCACATTTAAAAGCACCACTGTTATGTGGATTAAACTGACCCCTAATTTTTTCCTCAAATCTATACAAAAATGTGTGATTGATTCCAAACTTTCTTTTTCTTCTTTTTTATGCTGTATTTGTGAGTAATTTAACCTGCCCATCTTCTGTAAAATGTTTTTCGTGAAAAAAATACTAAATTTGATTTCATGTGGGCTTTAAAAAAAAAAAAAAAAAAAAAACTTTCATTACAACATCCCAGCATCCAGTCACCGTGTCCGCAAATCAACTCCGGGACGGGTCCACCTTTTGCCCTCCACCCACGAGTTGCGAAACCCGAGAATATCGCTGCTTAGCACGGTGCGTCAAATCGATGACAAAGTCCGTGCGCATTTTCGCCATTTAAAAAAAAAAAAAAAAAAGCATCCACTCGAGTGCCGTAGCCGCCACCCGTCCGCGGCATGAAACCAATGTGTGCTTTTCGCGAGGCGAGAACTCCAAATCGGCGTGGCGACTATCCAAATAAATACAAGCGCGGGGCCTCGCTGGGCTGCTGAAGCTCTGCGCCACGCCGCTCTCCGCAGTGACCGAGCAACCTGACCCACGAGTGGCGCGTCATTAAAAAATGCTCAAAATAACAATAATAATAATAATAATAATAAAACAGCGAGG